CTTTTGACCATATACATGATGTTAGTTCAATCTGATAGCATACTTCATAAGGAGCCATAGACGTCCATTAATAGACACGTTTGAATGGTGGGACGGGCTTGCACTCATTCTCATCTAATGTATTTGCGATAACACCACGGTATTTCAATTCAACATCCGGCTTGTCTGCATCTTGCTGCCAGCTTAAAGTGTGCTTCATCCAGTTCTCGTCATCTCTCTGTTTAATATGTATTAGTGCACAGTGCAGTAAATAGGTTAAAAAAAGCATGCCTCTGGGAAGTCCTCACGAGCGTGAGCACCACGACTTTCTTTGCGAGCAGCTGCCGACACAATGGTTTGCATGGCATTGGTGAGGAGGTTGCGTAACTCGAGAGTTTCGATGAGGTCACTAAATAATGGTGCGGTCAGGTGTTGGAAACGATATCACCAAGTCTGAAGGATACATACGAGTTCCAAATCATGCCCCTGTCTCGGATTCCGACATCTTCGAAACTCTTGTAAATCTCCGTCATCTTTTGCACACCTTCATCCAAACTCTCTTGGGTACTGTAAGGCAATATCGTGAGATGCGACTTTGTTTTAGAAATGAAACATACCGGAAAACAGCAGCGTCAGCTTGCATGGCCTTTTGCATGTTGAGCCTGATCTGGGCTGTCGAAAGAGAGCCTTCCGAAGTCCTAATCTTGTCCAAATCTTCAATACTCTTCAACCCAGCTTCTTCGGGGATAGCTTTGTGAGGCTTTCCTGGGTCCAAATTTTCTTTGATGTGGATGGCGCATGCACGACCAAAGACGACGATATCGAGCAACGAGTTGGCTCCAAGTCGATTGGCTCCATGGACAGAGACACAGGCCGCTTCTCCGGCAGCATAGAGACCGGGAACAATCTGATCCTTTCCATCCTTGTCAACGGTGATGACCTCACCAGTATATCTCGTAGGAATACCACCCACTATAAACACCATGTCAGGAACTGCAAACGAAGGGTGGGGAGTACTTACTGTTATAGTGCACTGTTGGCAGTACTGGAATAGGTTCCTTCGTTACATCGACACCGGAGAAGATGGCAGCTGTTTCAGAAATGCCTGGTAATCGTTCATGGAGAACATCAGCCGGGAGATGGCTGAGTTGAAGGTAGATGTGATCCTTTTCAGGGCCAACACCACGACCTTCACGGATTTCGAGGGTCATTGAACGGGATACGACGTCTCGAGATGCAAGATCCTTCGCTGTCGGTGCGTAACGCTCCATAAAGCGCTCACCCTCCGAGTTTAGGAGGTAACCTCCTTCACCACGTGATCCTGATCGCGTATTAGCCAATTGTTAGCTAAACTCCTTTAAACATACCTTCGGTAATGAGACATCCTGCACCATAGATACCCGTGGGATGGAATTGAACGAATTCCAAGTCTTGTAATGGTAATCCCGCTCTTGCAACCATTGCGTTACCGTCTCCGGAGCAAGTATGCGCACTGGTGCATGAAAAATAAGCACGTCCATAACCTCCTGTAGCTAATACGGTCTTGTGTGCCCTGAATCGATGTAATGTTCCATCTTCCAAACTGATAGCCATGACGCCAACGCATTCTCCTTCATGCATGATGAGATCAAGCGCAAAGTACTCCATGAAGAAGTTTGTGTTGTGTCGGAGCGATTGACCATAGAGAGTGTGAAGGATGGCATGACCGGTTCGGTCTGCAGCAGCTGCACAGCGATATGCCTGTCCTCCTTTACCGAATTTGAGGGATTGACCGCCGAAAGCCCGCTGATAAATCTTGCCCTCCTTCGTGCGGGAGAACGGAACTCCGAAGCGTTCGAGCTGGCGGAAGCTCAAAAAAAAGTCCCCGTTCTTGGATTTATAATACTAACCTCGTAGACACTGTTTACGGCCTCGCGAGTCATATAGTGGATTGCGTCCTGGTCACCGAGCCAGTCGGATCCTTTGACCTAGGTCGTCGAGTGAGCAATCACAAGTCCAAGTAGTTGAATTTACTGTGTACATACTGTGTCGTACATGTGCCATCGCCAGTCGTCTTCTGTCATGTTCTGTTGCGTCAATTCGTCCATTAGCTACATCTAACAGACAAATGCTTGGAGAGGTACATACACCAAGTGCAGCATTAACACCTCCCTAGAAGAATAGGGAAAATTTAGACTACGTAACAGAGCGTCGAACGGAGAAAAAACTGACTTGAGCCGCAACAGTGTGACTTCTGGTAGGATAGAGCTTGGTGATACATGCTGTATTTAGTCCTGCCTCAGCAAGCCCAAATGCTGCTCTTAAACCTGCTCCTCCAGCACCACTTCGGAATACATCAGCAAATGAAGTCATGGAACAATGCGAGTACGCACACGACGATAGCGTCATACTCGTGTTCGATTAATGGATACTTTCCCTCAAAGGCTTTCTGCCAAGACTGTTTTTGAAGGTTGAGACAATTTTTCGATCTCAAGCGAGAACACAGAGCCCACCTTGACCTCCTGTGCCTTTGCCGGTCGAGAACCTACTAGAGAACGAGTGTAGGCAGACGAAGCAAATGTCCTGCTAATATTTTGGTTTGTTGCTCTCTGTAACGGTCTACTCGAGCGGCAAATAGACCTATGCAACATTGTGTCGGTCGAAAAGGAAACCAAGTTTGAGTAACCAATCACATGCGAGTCATTTACCGGTTGACTGAAAAGCGACACTCGATTAAAATACAACATAGACTAGGAGAACTACTGAACATCAAGAACTACCATCCACGACCAGGATCCATCCATAGCTGCCACGCTCTTCGACTACAGATATGAATTGCAGAATTGCCTAGGTCGATCATGGTCCAGCCATCCTTCTGGTCTTTGTGGTTGGATCTCGACGGGACAAGTAGTCCAGGGTATTCTCTCTTGAGCTAAGAAGCCATTAAATTGAGAAGTGATCACTGGAATAGCTCTTACCATCTGTCTCAAAGAGGATGCAACTACTTCTACCCCCCCTCGGACTTCGGAACCTTGTTTAACCTGTGCAACAAGCTTAAAAGCCCTTAATACCACAATTACTTCTGTATAGAACACAACACTAACCTCCCACAAGTATACTCCTTGACCCGGTCCTTCTCCTACGCCTCGGCCATAACCCCTTTCCTTTTGTTTTCCTCTGGATTTTTGCACACTCTTTAATAAAGGTAAAGGCAAGTCTCCATCAGGTTGGTCCTCTGCCGACAGTGGGTGGTCTAATGTCAGTGTGGAAGGCTCTATAAGAGGTGATTGCGCCAGAAATGTAAAAGCAGTTTGAATGTGTTTCGGTGATTCTTTTGCTGCTTTTGGTAATTCAATTCTTGCCCTCTCGGTGGCTCGCGATTTGTGAGGCTCTGGCTCTTCATCGACAAACCATGGTTTTGTTATTGATGATGTCGTGTAACTGCGCCTTGAAAATGTTGCATTAGGTACTGATAATGTCCTTGGAATGAGGATGAGAGTGCGAAAAGGTGTTTGCATGGGTCGGAGGACAAGTGCTAGATATACGTGACCCATTTTTGACAACCTTCGTTGAACCCGACCTACTCTGCCAGCGCTGAAATGGGTGTGCGTGTTGCAGTTGTTATCATGAGCACGTCGTTTTTGCTCGGTCTGTTCGTCACCTACTATAATTCTTTCATCGCTGAACAAGGATCCCAGGCGTCCTCATGACCCACTGGATCGCCGATTCACTCACACTGTGGAAGTCGCCGCTCACAGACGCCCGTCTATATACAGCAGCTGCATACTACTCTTTACTCTCTAAAATGACATTCGGAATGGCTGGTACTGTTGTTGGGGTCGTCACAATCGGATTCATGGGTCTCCTGCTGTCTGCACAGGACGGTGAGGCAGGCAATCTTATGTTTGACGGTGCTAGTCTATGTCAGTGTTACTCATTTTTCTGCGTTCTGCTGATGGATAAGCTCATATGTTCTCTAACAGTCCTCTACGGGTCTGCCGCGGCGGTATACGTATACTCGGCGGTGCCAAAGTTGTCTAATTTTGCAAATTTGACCCCATTCGCTGCGAATTTGCCCAGATTTCCCCCTCATCTTCGACAACCCACTATCGAAATGGCCTCTTCTCACCTTATATGTGCCGTGTGTCTCACCGGAGTTCTAATTCTCCAAGCCGCTCGATACTGGGCCGAAGGAGAAGAAGATGATGGTGCTCTTGACTCGCGTGTCGACTCTTCTGAAGGCAACTGGAAGCGCAGTCCTCGTCCAGTAGAGCCCAGCCCCGAGGGAGCTCGCAAAACAAGGACACGCGCAAGTGAATCCCCGTCAACGAGACGGAAATCACCTGTCAAGCGTAAAAAGGCGGGCTCGATTTCTCAAGCTCGATAGTTCAACACTATTCATCCCTCTCACGACTTGCACGCTTGTTCAGAACTAATTCGAACATTCAACTGTTGTAGTCTGCATTATTTAACAAATCGTGAATTGTTACTCTCCGCGAAATTAAAGAGACCAGCTATCGTCGGAGTTTGAATATTATTGTCCACGCGTTTTGAAGCCAACATGACCATGTATTCGAAAGAGCCGGTCGCGATGGATATTGGTGAGGGAAACTCTCTACACAATGCTGATAATCGCTGAGAAGAACCAGACAACGCGACTGAGCTCGGATTTTGCACATGGTTCACAAAGCTTCCCAGTGTAAGGCATCTAAATGCTCAATTTTCCGTGTCTAAGCTCTTTTAGAAACGAGATGATACCGTAAGACTGTTTGAAAGAGGAGTCGGTCACGTTTATGATGTGCTAGGCGAGGCTTAACATTCGTATGACAGGACTTTTACACTGCGCATGGAGAAGATGCCCATTTTATAGCGTAAATTCATCTTTCCGATCTCAAAGTAGTGTAGAGCTAAAACTCCTGCAGGCAAGAAGTGTATAGGACGAATTCGGTGATCAAACCGTTGGGCAAAAAGACAGCACCACTTCCTTCTGTAACATTATCGATCACTCTTGCTAAAGAATTCCTTCGAGATGCTCTTACTGTGAAGCAGTTGAGAGTAGAGATTTGGGTGCCAGAAGGTAGCAAGAAGAGCGCCTCGAAGTTTATCCTATCTAAACAGGTTCATAGCAAACTCCCTTGTCCGTCCCACAATACTCATATATCAACTAGGCATCTCCAGGAAACATACAGGAAGTAGAAGATTTGATATTTGCAAATACCGACATTACATCTGCCCCAATCGTGTTAGCCATACGGGTCTCCAAGCTTGACAACGTCAAAACAATTGGAACAGCATTCGCGGACACATCGATCCGTAAACTGGGTATATCCCAATTCGCTGAGACTGAATTATTCTCTAATATTGAGGTGGGTAATGGTAATTACTTCAAGAGAACAAATTGACAACTTCTCCTTTCTCAGAGTTTGATCATCCAACTTGGTGTCAAGGAGTGTCTTGTTCAAGCAGAAGGAAAGAATGAAGACTATGATTTATCTAAATTACGCCAAGTGCTTGAGCGATGTAATGTTATCGTAACGGAGAGGAAGCCAGGCGAGTCCACAATATACCCCTTGTATTTCTCGTTAAACATTGATCTCCTAGCTGAATTTTCAACAAAAGACGTGGAACAAGATGTTACGCGATTGCTCAGCGGTGAACAGCCTTTGGTGGGATTAGGTATGCAGTCGATTGCGAGCGAGGGTTACATGCTTACTACGAAACAATGTAGCGGCCTTTGATCTTAGAGTTGCCATGTCCGCGACAGCTGGTCTTATACGATACTTGGACCTAATGCGGGATCCGTCCAACTTCGGTCACTACAGCTTGGACCAGCATGACCTCGGTCAATTCATGCGATTGGATGCATCCGCCGTACAGGCTTTATCTCTCCTTCCGGGACCACGAGATGCCGGAAATAAAAACACGAGTTTAATTGGCCTTTTGAATAAATGCAAGACAGCCCAGGGAGGTCGCCTCATTGCACAGTGGTTGAAACAACCCTTAGTTAATTTGCATGAAATCAGTGAGTACACGGTTGGAACCTTTAAAACTTCTCTAATGGATTCCGGGGAAGAGAAACGGCAGACTCTCGTTGAGCTATTTGTTGACGATAGTAGCTCTCGAAGAGGGTTACAAGACGAATTCTTGCGATATATGCCAGATATGCACAGAATATGCAAAAGGTTCCATAAAAAGGCCGCTAGTCTAGAAGATGTCATACGAGTATACCAAGCGGCAATTCGGGCAAGCAGTGATTATGACGATCAGTATTATTACTCACTAAATTGTAGATTCCTGATCTGATCGAGCAACTCGAATCGCTCCAGACAGATTCATTAGGGCAGTCGGCTATGATTAAGGAACATTATATAGAGCCTTTCCGGGTAGGTATCTAAGGTTCTACTTCCTATCCAAATCTCACGATTGTCAATAGCGCTTTGACGAGAATATCTCAAAGTTCAAGGAGATGGTAGAGCAAACAATAGACCTCGATCAACTCAAAAATCATCAGTGGGTCCAAAGCTATGATCATACTGCGGGTGCTTAGATCAAAGGCAGATACGTCATCAAGCCAGAATACGACGAGTCGCTTCAAGTACTGGCAGATAAACTTTCAGAGATTGTGGATGGACTTGATGCAGAACATCGAGAGGTTGCACGAGATCTCGGCTTGGAGCTGGACAAAAAGCTACACCTTGAGAATAACCCTACTCATGGATACTGTTTTAGGATCTCTAAAATTGTGCGAACTTTCAT